TAGGAGAACATATTACCATTTGAACTTTATTCTTTTGATTAAGAAGAGACAACATTGTTTTAGCTACATCACTATCTTCTGGTTTTGACGTTGCCATTGGTTTTCTATAACAGTTTATCAGAGCACACGATATCCTACACGAAAGATTAATAGTTTTTCCAAGAAACCGCTATTTAGCCTCCAGAACTGCATGTCTTTGCAAGTAACCGATGTTTCTCCACTAGAACTTCATGTTTGATTCTAATGAAACCGGACTCGGTTTGAACTTGCAAGGACTCAGACTTGGCTGGACTCGGTACCCCCCGGACTCGCCCATGCCTGGTGGATTATGATTAATATAACCAATATAATACATTGAATTTATATCATTTATTGATTTATCATCAAATGATGTCATTACATTCATAAGTGACTTAAACTTGATTTTACTTTTTAAGATAGCAATATCGTTGGCATGATCAATACTTTCTACTGATAAATTACCAAGTACACCAGAGAACGAAGAGAATTTAACCGTAATTCTTGTTTTTGTGTTTTGATAGCTTAAGTTTCAGAATGATATAATGGGAATTTATATTCTTGATTTCGTTCTGGTTCAAGATTAAAGCTTAAACCAAACGTAATTCTGTATCATATATTTTTGTGTATGACATGAAGTCCAACTCTTTAAAAAAAACAAAGAAACAACCAACAAACTTTGGTTATACAAATTATTGACTATCACAACTGCTCTTACGATTATTTAAAGGCGTTAGATCTTCAGCTAAATATTGGGTTACGCCGTGGACGTAACTTAAAATTGTATTCTGCCCAATTGTACCGGTTGTATAAATGAATTTCACTTCTTTAGTTTTTTGATGTACATACGCGGTAGACAATAGTACAACACATTGATTATGATGTTCGTAGACTTCGAGATCAGCCGAAAAATGGGGGATTTCCTTAAAATCTCCAAATTTAAATGATATTAATTGAAACACATTATGAAATATCTGTGATGTTGGTACACCAATATGTACTGCATATCGCTCTTTTGCTAGACATAAACCTCTAAATCCCTTTGTAAGTAATACTAGTTCGATCAATTCATTTTCACGCTATGTGCTGTAATATCGTCGAGCAGTATTGAAACAATTTGAAATCAACATTCGTGAACATCTGGATAATCGTACCATTTTGTTTTAATTCAAACCTGA